TAAATTATCACAGAAGTATTAGCGTGGAAGACAGCTGTGGAATGTTGGGTGCGCATTTAGTGTTGCAGCGACCCTAACCCTAACCCTAACCCTAACCCTAACCCTAACCCTAACCCGCGCGTTCGACCATACAAATTGTGGCCACGGCAGATGGTCGCGCCCAACGCTCCGGTAAAACACGCAATGCACTCATGCGCATAATGAAAAGCATACTGAAATATAATGCACAACGGCAAAATGAGTTCATACTGAAAAGACGCGGCCTTTCACAGCAGTTGTGGCTCACTGCGTGCGTAAATTGCGAGACGGCCTCCACACAACAAACGCACACACCGCCAACAGTCACCCAACATGGACGAGAAGCGACACACCGCGCCACCGCCTCCAGCTCAATCCCACGGACAACGGCATACGGCCACAGCCCGCTGCCGGCACACAACGCACACGGAGCGAGCAAGCAATCACCCAAAGAGCCACACGCAGAAGCGATTCCTCATCCATCCATGACGCGGCGCCTCACTCCATGCGGTCAAAGGGAGCATTGTTTCCTCAATAGAACTTATCCGTCGTCCATCCCTTAAAGATGCTTCTCTCAACGATCGGTCCTATAACAAAATAGAATAAAAAGGAAAATGTATTAACACTACGATACAGCTAAAGACAGTAATTCTCTCATAACAAAGCAATTCTCTTATTACGTCTTGCATACGAACAGAAAGATTCACAAAAAAATCCTTCAATATTTTATTACCATTAATTAAAATGCCTCTTGCATCCCTAATTTCTTTTTCCGTCGTTGTGAAGGAATATCGCGTTGTAATTTTTTGGCATCTGTGTGCCTTACTACCAAAAGAGATGACGCACCTGCACCGCATCCAAATATAATTATCCATCAATATGAAAAAAAATTAAATATGCTTTTTACCAGAAACCAAATTGCCCTCTTACCTCCCTAATTCCTCCTGATGATTTCCCACTGCTGCTTCTTGTTTCTTATCTGTAGTTGACTCCTTAATTGCATTTAGTTTTTCGATGTCTTCGGGCGTCAAAATGAACTGGTACTGGCGTACCTTTTTATCCCAGAACGCCACAATTTTTTTTTCCTCACGGCTTCTGGGATTGACGTAATCACATCTCTGCCAGTTTTCCATCGGCTTGCTGTCTGCGTGTTGTACATAAATAATATCCCACGACAAACCTTGAGCAAATTCCTCCCAATTCGTAAAGAACCACGATAGGTACTCAGTGAACTGCTTCACAGTGCTGGTTTTGGTGTGGTGATCATGTGCCGTAGTCATTTGCAGCCCAACCAGTGTCCTCCGCGGTGACTCCATGAAGAAAAATGCGTCCACCAGCGGAAAGGTTGGGTACGCTGGTTTGTACATCACCTTGTACCTTGCGAAATTCTTCTCCAGAGGAAGGCCTTGCTTTGTCGGTAATCCAACGGCCTCAGTAGGGTGCCCTTCAGGGTTCCTTTGCAGCGCCGCTAGCTGGAGAGCGCGTCCTTCTGGTGGTTTCAGCTCCTTGAGTTTTCCTATTATTATATTCACAGCACCTCTACACATAAACGTGACCGTGCCTGACATCTCCAAAACGATAGATAACAAAATGACGTCGGGATGCATGAGTAGCTTAAAAATTTCCATAAAATGCATTTTCGTCGATAGATGAATATAAATTTTGCTCGCAATCACACGGGAGGCTGGAGAATTGAGATATATTTCAGTCGGTAAATCCTTTCTCACTCGGACAATTTGCACAAGTTTGTGAGACGGATTCGCAGCATTCCATAATTTGTCACTCATCACGCCAACGTAATGCTTAGCATTGGAACTGTCAACATCATTTATGACTTGGTCGATATCGGTTTTCCGGTCAGTAAACTTATTCCCGTCGAAGATGACGCGAAGAATCGGTCCCACTTCATCCATGCGTTCCTTCAACTGCTTCCAGTATCCATTTTTGTTCCCCTTGCTCATTGCGC